AGAAGAGAAGAGAAGAGAAGAGAAGAGAAGAGAAGAGAAGAGAAGAGGGCTTAAGACAAAGCTTTGGCCATATTCATGCTTGGAGTGAAAGATAGATGATATTCCATCAAAGGAGACTTAAGTGTAGTCAGACACATAGGAAAACCAGGAGAGAATATCACAGAAGCCAAGGAAAGAGAAAATGCATAGGAGGAGTGAGGGAGTGACTATATCTGTTTTGAGACAGTCCTCTGGCATAAGAGAGTCTCTCTTATAAGGATGTAGGGTTCCTCCACTGACCCTTGCTTTTCACATCTGGGTTCATAGTGTCATACTCCCCCAATGTAGGTGTGGTTGTCAATAAGTTAAGTCTTTGTGCTGATACCCAGTTTATGTCTAAAGAAAGGCCCATGGACCTGCCAGAGACATAGGGGAAAACAAGCCCTTAATGAGGTAGGGTGCTGAGAATAACATGTAAAACAATACACACTAACCTACAGAGCATAACTCATACAAGGGCAGTACTGTGTTGGGGAATGCAGAGAAACGGGTTCATTCAGCAGAAAGGGCATACTCCTGCTGCTGGAAAGCAAGTTATGCTTCAGCTAGAGGGGAGAGTATGCTCCAAAGTGCTCTTTCTGAGACTGAAGTTCTTATACTGTGATTTCAGATGGCTTCCCTGGAGCTGACCAAACTGCATATTGGGTTAGGGCGAAATATTATTTTGGGGGTTTGTTATCAGGGAGAAAAGCAAGCTGGTGGTAGAGAAAATATTATTTGGGGGACACAACTCTACCAACCTTCAAAAAATGTTATTGTCAGCATTTTTTTCATGAGTATGTCCTATAAACTTACAATCTCCCTTAAGGAGAAAATGTTACGGGGATCTCAAGACCACCAGGCCTAATCTAATAACCATATCAGAAGCTGAAGAGAAGTCAAATATGGTGGGAATTTGAAGTAAGGCCATGGGATTTAGCAGTTTAAAAATCACCTGTAACACTAGAAAGAATAGTTTTAGTCAAGTGGTAAGCAGAAGAAGTACACTTTTTAATGGGTTAAGAAGTGATAAGAGTGGTTTTAAAAAAATGGTGGTAATGAGAATAGACAACTTTTTTTTAGGAGTTTGTGAAAAGAAATATAGTTTGAAGGAATGGCAGGGACAAGTGAAAGACTGAAATGAACTAGCAGTTTTAGAAAGCAAAAGATATCAGGGATAAAGAGCTAGGTGGCACAGCATATAGACATTGAACTGTGTTCAAATCCTGTCACAGACACTTAATAGTTGTTTGACCATGAGCAAGTCACTTAACCTGTTTTGTCAGTCATTTTGCTGTCTATAAAATGGGGATAACATCACCTACATTTTAGGGTTGTTTTGAGGATTAAATGAGCTATTATATATAAAGTACTTTGCAAACCTTAAAAGGCCATATAAATGCTAGCTATTATTTGTAGCTATTATCAATAGGAAAGTTAGCCTTGGCAAAGAGGACAACCTCTACTCAGTGACTAGAGTAAAAGGGAATCATGGAGAATGATGCAGAAGAGATTAAGTGTGAATAAGGGATGAAAGAAATGTCAAGGCAAATGGTCGTGATACTCTCAGTAAAGTAAGAGGTAAAGTTCTTCACTGAGAAGCAGGATTAGGGTGGCAGAGGTTGCTGAAAAGAGATGAGAGGTTTGAAACAGGTAAAGTAGCTTGCATGATAGATACTGTTAAAAAAAGAAAAAGAGAAAAAAAAGGATTGCTTTGGAGCAATGAGGACCCAGTGGAGATTAGTTAACATGAATTTGTTGTGAATTTAATTGACACAGTTGTTTAATTTTCTCCAGCAGTATTCCACAGCACAGTATTGGTGGGGGTAAACCAGGGTTAAGGACTGGCAAGACAGTACAGTATTAGGAAAAGGAAGTAAAGGATTCAAGGGTGAGGAGTACTTTTATGGTTCAACTAATCATCTATAAGGTCAAAATTGGGAAGGAACGAAAGTGAGATGGATTGCGCAGAAAGGGATGAAGAGACTGACAATCACAAGGAGGACAAAAGATTGGTAAAGAAAGAATGAGGAAGTGGGAGAGACAGGAGGACAGATTTGAATAAAGAAGAGAATATCAGAAGTCAAGATCATAGAGGAGGCACAGTTATGGATGATGATGAAATTCAAAGTATATTCCCACCCCCATGGATGTGTCTAAAATGGAATGGTGTAGAAGCTCTGAATGGATAATAAGGCCTGAAGGAGTATACACTCCATGGAGGATGCAACCTTGAACTGGGGCTTGAAGACTGCATAGGATCTAGATCCTCGAAAAGGAGCACAGAAAAGTGTTTTCCAAGCACCTCTTTCCTCTTCTTTCATGATATTTCTCCTTCCTCCCATCCACCCTGCCAACTACTCCTAATGTAGAAATAAATTCTATATATTATACTGAACTTAGTTTCATGTGCCAGTTCCCTATTTTTAAAAACTACTAGAACATTTTGTACCCATTTTTACACTAAATGGTATTTTGATTTTATGTGGTGTTTGGTTTATTTTATCTGAGGGTTGAGAGGTTTTCTCAAGTAGCAGTATTAATCTATTTTCCATTGTTAATGTTTCAACAGGAGGAATTAAAAATAGCCAGCCTTACTTTCTCTTTACTGCTAGATGAAGAACTACTAACAAGAGAAATAGGACTGAATGGCTTCCTTGAAAGAAAACAAAAAGAAAAAGTAATCATAACAGTCTTTTTCTTACTGAAATGTCACCATGATCCATACTCACTTAAATGTTCCAAATCTTTTACTCTATGCCTCTTTTTCCATGTACCAGAGTCCAGTATCTCATCTCAAATTATTTAACATCTCTAGTGCCTCATCTATAAAATGAGGGGATTGAGTGTATAATATTTCTTCAGTATCTTCAAACTCTAATTTCTGTAAACCTATAATCCACAGCCTTTAGACTTTGTTCTGTGCTCTGTGACAGCATCTATCTGTGTACTAATACAGTGGTCTCCAGTTTTGTGACTGAACCATGTTTGCAATCACTATTAACCAAATGGGCCACAAGATTACTTTATGCCCAGTAGTCTGATTGATATGACATGATACATAATGTGATATAACATAGAAATGAAAAGTCTTGTAAACTGCAGTTTACATATGAAAGCCATGTGTACTCTAAGGATGATTGTGTTAATAACTGATAATAACCTAAGAGAATTGTTCTTCCTACATAATGCAGATCTCTAAACTCCCTGACAACTCTAAATTCTAAGATCCAGGTCTAAACAACAGCCTTTTTCAAACACAGCGCCTTCAGGCAAAATTATAATTTTCCAGAATTTTGGCACCTCTTAAATAATGCCTACACACTGAGCTGGTCCTTGTTACTGCATGACCCTTGTTGCTAGTAGAGTAGTTCTTCACCAGCAAATATTTTGTCTATTCATACCATCCTCAGGTTTTCCTAAATAAATAATAATAAATAAGGACAGGAATTAAGTAGACTGGCTGACTCTGGAATAGGAAAACTTTTGCAGTTTTTTTTTAAAATAAAGATTAGATTTGAACATGAACTTACATGTGGTACATTTGAGACTCTTTGTAGATTTCTGGCTTTGTTGAACTGTTTAAACAACTGTTAGAATATTTATTTCTGAAAATTATCTTTGGTTTACCTTACCTCATCAGTATTAAAGAATGGGAAGCGTATGCTCCATTGACATATTTAGGAAACTTCTTGTTCTTTTTACTGTTCCCAGAATGTTTAATTGTCTTCAAAATATTTCTTGTTCTGTTTGGCTAATCCTAATTTTCTTATAGAAATTCACTACAGATGAAATCTACAAAGCTCGTGAAGAACTTGATGCATACAGGGAAAATTATGGCAGCTTCCTTATAGAAGACAAAGTAAGGGTCATCTATTCCTGACTATTTGTATATATTCAACCAATTATCTCTGAATGTGTAGAGTTGGGAGGGACTGAAAGGAATAGAATTTCCTCACAGATTTTCCTTTTTTGGAGAGTTTTACTTTGATTCCTAGGTATAATTACATCTTACTTTATGCCACTATGCATTCCTCAAAAAAGTATATTGAACAATTTTGGGAAATTGCCACCTTTATCTTGGTCTCAGGTCCCTCCTCTTTAAAATGAAGGGATTAAACTAGATCAGTGGTTCCCAACTTTTTTTTTGTTCTACAAACCCTTTTGAACAAAAATATGTTGTGAACCCGAGGAGTAATTTAGTATACTATTCATTATATTCTGCAATTATTCACTGCTTATGGAGCCATTAAAGTATTTTTAGTGCAAACCCCTCGGACCATTACTACAAACTCCCAAGCAGTTTGCAAACCACCATATGGAAACTACTACATCAGATGATCACAAAAACTCGTTTCAGGTCTAGAGTTCTATAATTCTATCAAGTAATATTTAAGGCACCAGTTAACAAAAACTTTAGTGACTCCTTTTGCAATATGAACTAACATTCTTACACATTTAACCTCTAATACATTTCTTATATTGTTATTTCTCAGAATGGGACACAACAGAATTTTGAAGGAGATATGTCAGTAAACAAAAAGTTTCAGTTTATAGTTCCAGTGATAGCATGTTTTTCCTATAGGTTCTGGAGCGGGGATTTAAAAAAGAGTTTGCTGAGCTTCAAGGTCATCTGGTTGAAACACTCTACAAACAGTACAAACGCCGACCAAGGTTGATTTCACTTTTATTTGGACAATATCTCTTTGTTAATATCAGTCAGTCAGTCAATAAGCATTTGTTAAATAACTACTATGTGCCAGGTACTGTGCTAAGCACTAGAAATACAAAAAGAAGCAAAACACAGTCCCTGACCTCACAGACCTCACAATCTAATGGTGGAGACAACAACAACAACAACAAAAAGAAATATGTTTTTTTGCTACATACAGGATAAATAAAAATTAAAAGAGGGAAATCACTAGAACTAAGAGGGGTTAGGAAAGGCTGCTACATGAGGGAATCCAGAGAAGGCACTAGGCAGAGATGAGGAAGGCGAGCATTCCAAGTACGGGAGACAGCCAGAGAAAATGCCTAGAACAAGCAATGAAGTGTCTTGTTCATCAAATAGCAAGGAGGCCAATATCACTGGATCAAAAGGTACAAAGAGGGGAGTAAAGTGTAAGAAGAGTGGAAAAGGTGGAGGGAGGCTGGTAATATCATAAAGAACTTTGAATGTCAAACAGAAGATTTTGTATTTGATCCCATAAGTGACAGGGAGGCACTAGAGTTAGGGCTCCAGGAGGAGGTGCACTTTGGCAGATGAATGGAGGAGGGTTTGGAGTGGTTAGGGTTGGAAAGGTAGATCTGAGAATCATTAGCATTAAAATGATAGTTAAATCCAAGGGAACTGGTGAGTTCACCAATTGAAATAGTATAGAAGAAAAGAGGGCCAGGACAGAGCCCTGTGAAACATTTAAGATTAGTGGACATGGCCCAGAGGAGGATCCAGCAAAGGAGACTGAAAAGGAAAGGTAAGATAGGTAGTAAGACAACCAAGAGTGGTGTCCCAAAAACCTGGAGAGAATAGAGTATCAAAGAAAAAAGGGTCACCAATATTGTCAGTAGTTGCAGAGAGGTGAAGAAGAACGAAGACAGAGGGGGCAGTTACATGGCGCAGTGGATAGAGCACTGGCTCTGGAGTCAGGAGGACCTGAGTTCAGATCTGGCCTCAGACGCATAACACTCACTAGCTGTGTGACTCTGGGCAGGTTACTTAGCCCCAGTTGCCCTCACCAAAAAAAAAAAAAAAAAAAAAAGAATGAAGACAGAAAAGGTCATTGGATTTTGCCTCTAGGAGATAATAATTAATTTTGGAGAGATCAGCTTCAGTGTAATGAAAAGGTCATAAGCTGGCTTGTAAGGGGTTAAAAAGAGAGTGAGAGGAAAGAAAGTGAAGGCAGCTCTTGTAGATGGCCTTCTCAAGGAGTTTAGCCACTTGGAGCAGAAAAGATATAGGGATAATAGCAATGTTGGAAAGATCAAGTGAAAGTTTTGGGCACATTTGGAGGTAGAAGGAAAGGAGTTACTAGATAGAGAGAGATTGAAGATAAGTGATAGAATGGGGATGATAGAGAGGACAATCTGTTGAACAAAGCAGGATGGAATGAGATCACAAGCGCAGGTAGAGGTATTTGCCTTGGTAAGGGTAGCCTTTTCATGTGAGACAGACTTAAAGGAGAAGATAGTGGCAGAAGGCATATAAATAGCCTTCCTCAAATGAGATGAGGAAAATGGGAGAAGAGGGAACTCTTGGCTAATGGCCTCGTTTTTTTTTTGTAAAATATGAGACAAGGTTCTTAGCTAAGAGGATTGGGGGTTGGGGAGACATGGGAGGTTTGAGAGGGAATAAAAAGGTTTGGAAGAGTTGCTGTGGGGAACGAATAGTGGGTTGATAAGGGAGGTACAGAAGGATTGTCTAGCAGCACTGAGGGTCCAATTGAGGTTGTGTAACATAACTTTGTAATGGACCCAATCAAGATGGTTGCATAATTTTCTCCACCTCTGTTCAGCAGTCCATGGGTAGGCACAAAAACGGCAGACTGTGAAAGTGACCCAAGGCTGAATGAAGTTTAGCAGGATGTAATGAACAATATGATAAAAGTGCCAGGGATTCAAAAAAAGGGAACAGTGTAGAGTTGAACTGGTTCACAAAGGGGTTAAGATGGGGAAAAGAAGAGAGAGTGGCTTTGTAGAGGTGACAGACTGGAAAAAAAATGAAGGGTCAAGGAATTGTTGGTTATGGTATGGATGAAAAGTAGATGTGGGAAGGGAAAGGAGAGGCAAAAAGTCAACAGATTATGATCAGATAAAGGGATTTCAGAATTCCTGAACATGGGGATGGTGGGTGGCAAAGGCAATGGCAAGATCAAAGAAAGATAATGTTTCTTAATTACTTTTTTTATTTATAAAATAAGGAAATTTCAGGATTTCTTTTCCCTATATAAAAAATTAGTGCAATATCTTCTGGCTGAAATATTAATACAAATACCTCTTTGATCAATAGGCTAAGCACATAAGGGAATTTTATAGTATAACACATAGTAAGTAAAGCAATATGAGATTAGGGAAGATAGGTGGCACAGTAGATAGAGAGCTGGGCCTGTAGTCAGGAAGACCTGAGTTCAAATCCAGCCTCACATACTTACTAGCTGTGTGACCTTAGGCAAGATACTTAACTTGTTTGCCTCAGTTTTCTCATCTGCAAAATAGGGATAATAACAGCACTTATCTTCTAGCATTGTTGCAAGAATTAAATGAGATAATAATTGTAAAGCGCTTAGCATAGTGTCTGGCACAAAATAAGCACTATATAAATGCCAGCTATCATCATTATTACTATTACATTCAGATAAAATATAATAATCTATCATGCATTTTGAAATTGCATCAAAATCTTAATCATAAAAGTAAATATTGTTATTTCTTTTTATCATTAAAAACTGATTCATTACATATTTATGTACATGGTACTATTTTGGTGTTCAACTCTGCATGCTAACCTTTCCCTCTTTCCATGAAGTTATATAAAGTTCTGCTAGAGATGAAGAAATTTTTAAAAATAATACTCACAAAAGCAAGTCTAAAATAGTTTCAGTTTTTACATTAAGGAAAGTTACATTGAATATATCTGTGATTAATTTCTGTAATTACCTAATCTAATTGCCATTATTTTTAAATCAGAAGGAATATGATCTAATAATTATAGGTTCTAGGGGTCTAGAAATTCACTTATAGTGCTACAAATAGATCTACTGTGTGAGTCTTGTCATATAATATATAAACACATGCATGCAACACATGTCTGTACAGATATCTATTTACCTATACATATACATATCTTGTGATCCTTAGCCTTCTGATAGATTATTTTCCCTATGTTTAAAAATGTATATGGAGAATACTATTCTTTCTAGGGACTCTTCAGGACCTTCTAGTATTCACAGGTTTATGGGCTCTGAGTTGGAAGGAACCTTAGATGTTATCTAGTATAACCACCTCTGAAAAATTCTTCTTTTCTTCAATTAATTGGTGAAGTCAATTTTCTCTTCCTTTGGGGAAAAATATAAGCATATGGCAAGAAGATGAGTAGCATCAGTCCTCCCACTCCACACATAGCACCGTGCAAATATCCCAAATTGATTCACCAATAAAGCAGGCAACACTGTACTGGGCATAACAAAGGAGGACAGTCAAAGTAGAAATCATTCAATCTACAAGCATTTATGAAGCCCTTACTATGTACCAGAATCTGTGCTGGGTGCCAGGGACACAAAGACAAAAGTGAAATTGTCCCTGACTCAAGGAGCTTACATTCTATTACGGGAATCAAGAATGTGGATGTTTGGATGGATGGATAGATAGACAAGACAGACAGATAGATAGACACATATCCCAGTATATACAAATTTATACAAGTGAAGATGGGTGGCACTAGTAGCTAAAAAGCTTGATGTAGATGATAGCTCTTAAATGAATCATAAGGAAAACAAAGGATTCTGACAGAAAAGAAGAGGAAGGGAGAACATGCCAGGAATGGGAGACAGTCAATTTAAAATATAAATATGGTAGATGGAATGGCATGTATAAGAACAATAAGGAAATCAGTTTGTCTTTACTACAGTGTGTAAAGTAGACAAATGTGTATTAAGGATAAGAAGGTAAATTGGGACTGATTTGAAAAAGGAGTTTCAATTTGATCTACTATATGAGTGACAGGGAGCCACTGAGCCACTAAAGTTTTTGTTTTTTTTTTTAATGGGGAAGTGATATAGAAAATCACTCTGGCAGTATCTTAAAGGATGGATTAGAAAGCGGAGAGAAAATGTAATGAGACTAAGTTGGAGGCTTTTACAACAGTCTCTGTGAGAGATTATGAAGGCCTCGAACTAAGGTAGTAGCTATGTGGATAGAGGAAAGGGGTAGATTGAAGAGTTCTTGTGAAGATGCAATCAAACAAGATTTGCATCTGCTTGGCTTTGTGAGATGAAAGTGAAGGGTAGAAGACAGCACTAAGCTTGCAAACCTGCATGACTGGAAGAATGGTGCTGTCCTCAACAAAAAAGAAAGTTCAGAAAAGGAATAAGTTTGGGAAGAAAGGTAAGTTCTGTTTTGGACACAGTGAGTTTGAGATGCCTAGAGATTGCCCAGTTGAAAATGTTTAATAATCAGTTTGTGAGGCAGGACTAGAGTACAGAAGTAAAGCTAGGGCTGGATACATAGATCTTAGTGTCATCTGCACGGAGATGATAATTAAATCCCGGGGATCAATATTACCGGTAACCAAATAAGAATGTAGAGAGACAAAAGGGCCTAGAACAGAGCACTGGGAAATTAGGAAGCAGGGATGATGACTTGGCATAGAAAATCAAGAAAGAATAGTCAGGTGAGAAAACAAAAAGAAAAGTGTCATGAAAATCCTAGAAAAGAAAGAATATTCAGGCGGAAAAGATTGTCAAAGGTATCCAATACTGTACAGAGATCAAGAAGGTTGAAGACTGGGGAAAGACCATTAGATTTAGCAATTAATATAATCATTTACAACTTTAGAAAAAGATGTTTCAGTTGAATGAGATCAGAAACCAGATTGTAAAGGGTAGAGAAATGAGATAGAGGAGAGGGAATTGAGATCATATTTGAGTATAAGATAGCTTTTTCAAGAAGTTTGGCTGAAAAAGCGAGGATAGAGAAAGAGAATAAGTTGAAGGAATCTCTTAGGTTCCAGTGAGGAACCTAAATGAAAATGGGAAAGACTTGAGCATTTTTATAGGCAACACAGAAGGAGCTAGTAGAAGAGAAAGAGCCTGAAGAGTAGGAGGACTGGAGATTGAGAGTACTGTGAGGGCAATCTGCCAGAGAAGAAGGGAAGAGAAGGGATCAAAAGTACATGCAGAATAGTTGATAATTACTTCCTCAACAGAGATTGAAGAGAACAGCGGTGAGGAGGGGCCATATCAGAGTTGTGAGATGTAGATAAGGGGGAAAGAAGGAAATAATGGTGAATGGCCTCAGTTTTCTCAATAAGGTATAATGTGCTCAGCTACAGCATTTTTTCTCAGGCTGAACTCCTATAGAACAGTGCTTCCCACTCTTCCCTGACTACTACCCTATGTTAAATATCAATACATTGATATGTGTACTCAAAAAAGAGGGGGTCCTTTTCCAAACCACTATGCAGCTAGATTCCTGGGTGCTAATAAAGGAAAGGGACAGGAGATAAGCATTTTATTAAGTACCTGCTTTGTGCCAGGTACTTAATAACTGCTTCTGCAGCAGTACCTGACACAAAGCAGGTTTACAAATGTTATTTGTACTGAAGTTAAAGTAGTCTCTGGCCAGCCAAGCTATTGCAAAGAAAGCTTCAATGGAAGCAAAGGAGTCTTCTTTGTAATAGCTTGGCTGGCCTAGAGACTATTATTTGTCTATTCTGTAGAGAATCAAGCCCAGAAGTGTTGTATTCTTGAGATCTTTTGCAAATGGAGCTACACTTAATATCTTGTTAAAATTACTACTTAATATTGATACTTCTTAATGTATGATAATATGATCTTAACTTGTCTTGGCAAATTTGGTGTATATTTATTGATAATGCTAGGCCGCCAAAGCAAAAGCAAGCAGAGGTTGCTAGCCCTTTTGGAGAACGGCGAGGGTCTGTCCAAATTCAGAAGGAGAACTTTGCCCAATTAATGAATGGCATGGAGGAGCTGGATAATCCAATTAATATGCCAGAAGGCATAGAACCTGCAGTCTGGATGCATTTCTGTGATCTAAGAAGAACAAAAGTGGAAAGTGAACAAAAAGTAATGTTTTATCTATTAATATTAAATATAGAGAGTTGGCTGGTTGGGCTGAAATACTTTTTTCTCTTTTTTAATGTTTGTTACGAGAGAGATCAATGGGTGGGTTGAGAAGATATATATATATATATTAAATGAATGACATAAAGACAAAAAGCATCAATTGAAAATTCTTAGAAATCAAATATGGAGTTGAACAATCTTAGAAGGGTTGTTTTTAGGATAATCATACTCTGTCTCCCTAATAATATAATAAATGTTGGTAGCATCAGAGTATTATATTGAATATTGAGTCTTAAAGCCTACACTGGGAGAGATAACAAACACACTGGATATTAAAGTCAGGATACAAAAAGATCTTGACAATCTAGAATGCTAGGCAAAATCTAATAACATTTAATCAGCATAAATGTAAAGTCTTAGTCTTAGGATGGAAAAAAAAATCAGCTTCACAGATATCAGATGGGAGAAGAGAGATTAGACGTAATTCTTCCAATACAAATCTATGTATTCTGGTGAACAGCGAGCTAAACATGACTGTAATGGGCAGCCAAAAAACCGCTTTAAGAGAGTCACAATTTTCAGGAATAAGAAGATCAAAATACTGCTGTATCTGCCCTAGTCAGACCACATCTAGAGTGCTGTGCTCAGATCTCAGAATCATATTTCATAAGCAGGAAAGCATCCTCCTGGGGAAAATTACCACCACCAGAGAAGGTGATGAAGAGTTTTGAGTGAATGACATATGAGGATCAGCTGATGTAACTGGGATAGCTTTCTTTATGTATCTGCAGGGCTGCTATAGAGAACAGGGATTAGACTTGTTCTATTTGTTTCTGGAGGGCAGAACTAGGAATAATGGCTAGAAGTTGTAGAGAAGCAATTTTAAGCTTCATGTAAAGAGAAACTTCCTAAAAATTAGGGCTACACAAAATTGGAATGGTCTATATGAGGAGGGATTGTGAATCCCCCCTAATTTGAGGTATCTGGGCACTGAAGTATTAGATGACCATTTGGCAGGTATGTTGTACAAGGAACTCTTTTTCAAGTGTGAATTGGACTATCTGGCCACTGAGGTTCATTTCAACTCTGAAATTCCATGTTCCTATTATTCTAATTTTAATGGTCATAGGAGACAGAGTAGGTCTGTAGCAATAGAATATCTGTTCCTTCCCTTTGACAGGTTTCTTCTGTCTTCCCCAGGAAGCAACAAAGAGTAAAACTATTTAATTCAGCATACCCAGCTTTATTCTGTAGCTGGGTTATATCCTTTAAAGGGTAAAACAGATGAGAAACATGGTACTGCCCTTTACTTGACAGGCACTGAAAGGACGCATCCCCATTTTCAATCCCTCAAAAAAAATTCCCTCATATCATTAAACACAGTGCCACTAACATATGACCGAGCATATTGAAACTCATGTTTCTACTCCACTAACAATCTAAAAATCAGGAGCCAGCAAAAAAATGATATTGTTGGCATATTTCATTTTTAACAATAAGGAAATTTTACACTCTCAAGTACTGGCAGAGAATGTCATGGATTAAGTTCCTTTATACTGCCCACTGACATTATTAGGTGATTGAACTTTGATTAAATGAATTCTTCTTGTGAAAACTATTTTTTAAATCATTGAAACAGGTTTGTTCTAATTTTTCTCCTTATGATCTAAGAGGTTATGCTTTGGTTTGTTCAGGTAAAGCAAAAAGCCCTTGTTATGCTGGAAATGCAGGCCTTCCTCCGGAAAAGAACTGAGGATGATGAGAAGGTGCAAATGGACATGGAAAAAGTTTTCCAGGAACTCTTCATGTAATATAACTATTGATTATTTAATTTACATTTATTTAGGCCTATTTGAAATCTAGTCCAGAGTTTTTAAGCTGGGGGAAAATCTCTAATATAAAGAAGACTGACATCAATAGGTTTATCCTTGAATTACCCTGCATCATTATGGAAATGAGTTTCGAAAACTCTAAAACCTGAGACCCCATTGTAAAAAAATCACATAGTCCAGGTTAAGATTCCTTCATTTGTTCCTCTTCTGTTTTTTGTAAATAGGGATTATTAGAAAGTTTTCCTAATACCCACCTCTGTTTTTATAGAAGAAAAGAAAATGTCTTTGTCTGGATTTTTTTGGCTAACTTAACACCGGCTAATAAAAACAATAATCAATCTGCCTGGAACTGTGCTAGTTCTGGGAAAACAAAAACAAAAAAAATTAAACAGTTCCTGTCCTCAAGGGACCTACATTCTATTGGGGGAGACAAAATATGCAAAAAGAAGTTATATCCAAAAGTGATATATGATAATTTTGTGATGATCAGGAAAGGCCTTATATGGAAGGTTGGTTTTTGACTTGAACTTTGAAGTAAACTAGTAATTCTAAGAGGTCAAGGTGAAGAGAGTGTATACTAGTTCATAGAGACAGCCTGCTCAAAGGCATGGAAGCAAAAGATAGAATACGTCATGTGTGATACACAGCAAGAAGGCCAGTTTGGCTGGACCACAGAGTGCATGAAGGAAGTAATATAAAATAAGGCTGGAAAGGCAGCCAGATTATAAAGGGCTTTAAATGCCAATCACAGAAATCAGTATATAATCCTAGAGGTAATAGCCAATGGAATTTACTGAGCAGGAAAGTGACACATACAGAGTGCTAACCCCTTTAAAACCATTGCAAACTGACTTCCAATTTCATCAGTCAACTGAACATGCTCTCTCCAAAGTTACCAATGTCCTCTTAATTACCTAACCCAATGATCTCTTTTTTTTCAGTCTTCATTTCTCTTGACCTCTCTGCAGCATTTGACAGTGCTTATCATCTTTCCTCTTGGGGACTAATTCCTATCTGGATTTTGTGACAGTACTTTCCTAATTCCCCAGGAATTACTTCTTCAAGAATATTACTTTGGCAACTGTATGGAGGATGGAGATGGAAGAGATTTGAGGCAGGAAAATTAATTATAGGAAGGTATTACAAAAGACCAGGAAAGTGACGGTAGTGCAAGTTCTGATCTGAGATAGCCAAGCAGGGACAAAGAAATGGATGTTTTTACACATACGCATTTATCTCTTATAAAGAAGAACTGACCTAGAAAACATAATCCAAGACTCACCAGATACCTGTAAGTCAAGACCAATTAAAAAAAAAGACTGGACACAATATTTCAAGTTATCATAGATGAACACTGACCAGACCTATTAGTAATAGAGTGCACAGTAAAAGTAGAAAGATTCTATTGGTCACCTTCTGAAAAATAAACCCTAAAATGAAAACTACCAGGAACATCACAGCCAAAATTTGGGGCTTTCGAGTTAAATTTCAAAAATACTTTAAATAGTTAGAAAGAAAGAGTTAAAATAGCAAAGAACCAGTTAGGCTAACAGAAGACTTGGCAGCTAGTATTGCAAAGGAGAGATTTTGAAATATAATATTCCAAAATGCAAAAGATAAAGGCTTACAACCAAAAATAATTCACCTGGAAAAACTGACTATAATTCTAAAGGGAAAATGAACAATTAATAAAACAGAATATTTTCCAAGCATTCTTGATGAAAAGAGCAGAGCTGAGCAGAAACACCGAAATTCAAACATAAGAGTCAAATGAGACTAAGAAAGGTATAAAAAGCTGGAAAAGACTGTATGACGAGGAAGTGTTTACTTTCTAATGGGGAAAAAGAAATAAGTCCCCTCAGAATCCTAATTCTTCAAGGGAATTAAATAAAACAAAGAAGAGATAAGGGAAGTTTTGCCTTGTTTTTATGATCTTAAGTAAAGCAAGAAAGGGGAAGAAAACAAATACATTTGGGAACAAAGTAGGAGAAAGGGAATTAAAAATTATCCTTCCACAGGTCCACCTATGGAAACCTTGTTACAACTTTTACTTCCTCTATATAGTTAAGTTGGACTATCTTATCAACACTCTGCCAGGGCCATGGGCCAAGCTATCAGGGCCAATCTGAGCATCTCACTAAACTAATCAATCAGTAGATGGGCAATGTGTACCAGGGCAGGGACTTAATCAATGCAAGCTTATGACCCACACTTAAAGGGAATTCCTTGTTTCAGGGGAAATAATTGCAATCCTCAATCAGGAATGGGGTTCACTGGGTTACCTGTGCCTGCATAGGGTAGACACATACTGAGACAATCAATACAACACATGTACAGCCCCGGACATCTAAGGGCATCACAGACCTGTTGTTGCTCAATCTAGGGTGGCCGAATGCCACTTGTCCCTCTAGGAAGTGTAAGGTATGTTCAGGAAAGACTAGCAGCTCTGGTGTGAGGGCTGGCAAGCCATTGTCAGGCTCCTTTCCACCCTTAGTGTCCACTTGATTCACCCAACTCTCACCTGTGGCTCCAAGAAGCAGTAGCACGGGCACTGGCAGCATCCCGGTAAACCTTTTCAGCAGACAGGCTAAACCAAGTTGAGGATAACTGAGGGTTCTCAAACTCTTCAGTGAGGAAGCAGGATACATACCCCAAGTACTTGAAGACCTCTCCCGAAGAACTGGTGGATAGAACAATTTGTTCCAACAGTCATGAAGGCAACTGAAGCAGGTGGTGTGGAGTGCTCAGGGCATGGTTAGACACGAAAGACGCCAATGTCAGTCACTTCATCCTGAGCCATCACCAGTCATCTTGACTTTGTCTCGCCACTGGACTCGTTACTCTGGAATAGTACAGCAGACAACTTCACACAACTCTGCCTTCCTTAAATCCAATTTATGCACAAATCAAAAGATATCACCCATACTACTTTACCATTTTTACCTATCTCAAATTCCTATGGCAACAGACAAGTAACAACGCAGCAGATGCAGATGCACTGGGAGCTGCAGTCACAACCCTGCACGCAGGTGGCCCAGGCCATAAGGTTATCTTCTCACTGGACTGAAGCAGCAGTGGGACTTGGCAGCACTCTGGGTGTCTGAGCAGCCTTGAAGGACAGCACTGCTCACCTCTTAGCATGAAGAAGAGGTTAGAAAAGGCGCCCTAAAAATTGTCTGCTTCACTCAACCCTGGCCTGCTTACCATGGCAGGCAAGCATCTCACCCTGAGGTCAAAATGAAAAAAAAATTACAAAAACTTTTGCAAAGATGATTCCACTCACCATAGGTACACGGAATGTGACTGGAATGTGAGCACACGTATGGCCAACACAAAATCCAGTAGACCCGAAGAACAGCTCTTGTTGCAAGAGAACTCAGATGTTGTACCCAAATAGCAGTCCTGAGTGAAACAAGGTTAGCAAATGAAGGCCAGCTTATGGGAGTCAGAGCTGGATACACATTTTTCTGGAGTGGCTGCAGTGAAAGGGAGCAAAAGGGAGCGCTGTGAAGTTGTCATAGGTTTTGTAATCAAAACTAGCCAACAGGTTTATAAGCCCACCAAAAGGCGTGAACAACAGGCTCATGAGAATGTGATTGCCACTTGCAGAAAAGTACCACGCCACCATCATCAGTGTGTATGCTCCCACCATGATGAACCCTGATGAGAACAAAGAAAAATTTTATGAAGATCTGGAAACTATAATCATCAATGTGCCAAAAGAGGACAAGTTTACAATTCTGGGTGACTTTAATGCAAGAATAGACACAGACCACCAGACATGGCAGGGAGTCCTTGGGAGGAATGCAATCAGAAACAGAAATGGCAAAGGTCACTTACTACTGAAGCTCGTATATCTCATGACCTTCTTATCAACAACACTATCTTCTGTTTACCTAAATGCAATAAAATTTTGTGGATGCACCCTTACAGCAAACATTGACATTTAATAGATTATGTGATTGTAAGGAGAAGAGACAGGATGTGAGAGTGATAAAGGCAATGTGTGGTGCAAAGTGCTGGACTGATCATAGATTTATCTTCTCCAAGCAAAATATTCACATTCAACAAAAGTGGTAGCCCCAAGGCAAGATGACTACCAGAAAACTTAAGGTCAACAGAATAGAGTGCTTCTTTTTTTTTAGAGTGCTTCTTAGTGGGTGAACAGTTTGTTGTTAACTTGGAGGGAAAGCTAAGCCAACATACAGCTGGCAACAGTGGAGCAGAAAAGGAATGGATGGCTTTGAGAGATTTGGTGTACAGCATTGCATTTACTCATCTGGGCCTGAACACTCACATACATCGACTGGTTTGACAAAAATAATGGAGAAATTCAGAAGCTGCAAAATGAAAAAATGAGAACTCCACATGGTTTACCAACAGGATAGTTCATCTCTAAAAAGACAGTGTTTAACTCCATCACAAGTAAAGTGCAAACAAAGATTAGAGAGACACCGAATTCTTGATTCAAAAGGCAGATTAAATTCAGTTTTACATTGACAGTAAAAATCCGAAGCATTTTTATAATGCCCCGATGGCTATTTATGGGCCAAAGACCTATGATGCATCTCAACTACTCAGCACAGATAAAGCCACGTTGATTAGTGATAAGGACATGATCCTGGAGAGTTCTCAACACACCATCAATCAATGCTGAAGCCACTGACTATATTCAGGTTGAAATCAATCCCTCTCTAATGAACTTCTAACTGAAGAAGCGATTTTGAATGCCATTCAGCTCCTCTCATGTGGCAAAGCGATGCTAATTCTATTCCAGATGAGATTTACAAGACAGGGGGTCCAGTGCCCATACAAAAGCTGACTGAAATTTTCTGGTTTACATGGCAGGAGGAGGCTATCCCTTAGGAGTTGAAGAATGCCGCCATTGTCCATCTTTATAAAAGTAAAGGAAATAGATTGTCCTGTGACAACCACAGTCTCTCTCTTAGTCATTGCTGGCAAGATTCTTGCCAGA